AGGCCTTGGCCTCTCTGCCCTGTTGCTGGCCCTCCAGAGGGACTGGCTGGCCCCTGTGTGAGACGGGAGGCTGGACTAGAGGGACCCTCCCTGGTCTGACCCAGCAGGGCTCTTCTGATGTCCTTATCAGGAGAAGGCCTCGGCCTCTCTGTCCTGTTGCTGGCCCTCCAGAGGAACTGGCTGGCCCCTGCGTGAGATGGGATGCTGGACTAGAGGAACCCTCCCTGGTCTGACCCAGCAGGGCTCTTCTTACGCTCTGCTTCTCAAAACAGCACGGTCGCTTAACCCGTTCTCAGCACGGCTTCTGTAACACCACAAAGCGGGCTCTGTTTGCATGCAGCGCCAAGGCTTGCAAGCGCAGGCCTCACGCCGCCCGGCAGCTCTGTCGCAACGAACACCCAGTGCCCGTTCTGGAGACAGCTTGGTCTTGTAAACATCTTCGAACTAGAGCGGGCGTGCTCACTTAGAAGCTCTCTGGGTGATGAGTCAGCCCGACTGGGAGCAGGGAGTCCGTGTCGCCCTCTGTTTTGCCTCCCCCCCCCCCCTATCCCCCAACTGGTCTAGCCGGAAAGAAATCCCTGCAGTCAGCATGAACGAAAGTCATCCCTTCTTCGCTAGAATGAGCATGGTGCACCAGAGAGAACTCAGGCGGCGGGGCTGAGATCAGAACCACAGAGCAGAGGCTGCCATGCCACCGCTTAAGGGGAAGGACCTGGCTGTGCCCAGAAAGGAAACCAGGGAGTCTTTGTGCAGTTGTGCGAAGGTGGCAAGGACGGAAGAGAGAGCAAAGGAAAGACCAGCATCTCGATAGAGGGGAAATTATGGCGGGCGAGACTAGGAGTCCAGCCCCCTTTCTGCCTCTAAACGAATAACCTTTTCCCCATCGTTAAAGTGGGACAGGAATTCACTGCTCCCTCTAAGCTGTGGAGTCCTGTGAGCAAAAATTCTACTTTCTGAGCTGCTGGCATTAAAGTGGTGAGCAGGTGATTTGTCTACTGCACAAATTAGCTTGCTCTGGAGCCCTCCTTCCTGAGCTGAGACAAAAAATGTGTGAGCCGGAGGCTAAAAAAAACGGTGAGCTGGCTCACACTAACTCAGCTTAGAGGGAACACTGGACAGGATTAAACACAGCAACGTCAGGTCCCACACACTCCTAGTCTGGAGTCACTTTTGAAAGTCCTGCATGGAGCGAAAAACCATCAATGAATGAACACACACAGCGCTGCCTTATACTGAATCTGGCGATCCATCAAAATCAGTATTGTCTGCTCAGACTGGCAGCCGCTCTCCAGGGTCTCAGGCGGAGGTCGTTCACATCGCCTCCTGCCTGGTCCTTTTCACTGGAGATGCCGGGGATTGAACCTGGGACCTTCTGCATGCCAAGCAGAGGCTCTACCAATGAACCACAGCTCTCCCCCTAAAGCAGAGCTTCATTCGTGAACACACAAGAAACTGCCTTAGAATGATTTGAACCATTCGTTCCTCAAAGTCAGTATTGCCGACTCAGACTGGCAGCAGCTCTCCAGGGTCTCAGGGAGAGGTAATTCTCATCACCTCCTGCCTGGTCCTTTTCACTGGAGATACTGGGGATTGAACCTGGGACCTTCTGCATGCCAGGCAGAGGCTCTGCCACTGAGCCAGGGCCTCAGGTCAAGGACTTTCTCATCACCTCCTGCCTGGTCCTTTTCACTGGAGATACTGGGGATTGAACCTGGGACCTTCTGCATGCCAGGCAGAGGCTCTGCCACTGAGCCAGGGCCTCAGGTCAAGGACTTTCTCATCACCTCCTGCCTGGTCCTTTTCACTGGAGATACTGGGGATTGAACCTGGGACCTTCTGCATGCCAGGCAGAGGCTCTGCCACTGAGCCAGGGCCTCAGGTCAAGGACTTTCTCATCACCTCCTGCCTGGTCCTTTTCACTGGAGATACTGGGGATTGAACCTGGGACCTTCTGCATGCCAGGCAGAGGCTCTGCCACTGAGCCAGGGCCTCAGGTCAAGGACTTTCTCATCACCTCCTGCCTGGTCCTTTTCACTGGAGATACTGGGGATTGAACCTGGGACCTTCTGCATGCCAGGCAGAGGCTCTGCCACTGAGCCAGGGCCTCAGGTCAAGGACTTTCTCATCACCTCCTGCCTGGTCCTTTTCACTGGAGATACTGGGGATTGAACCTGGGACCTTCTGCATGCCAGGCAGAGGCTCTGCCACTGAGCCAGGGCCTCAGGTCAAGGACTTTCTCATCACCTCCTGCCTGGTCCTTTTCACTGGAGATACTGGGGATTGAACCTGGGACCTTCTGCATGCCAAGCAGAGGCTCTGCCACTAAGCCACACACCCTAATATGTAGCAGCCTTGTACTGAATTGGCCCCTTGTCAAGGTCAGTATTTACTCTGACTGGCAGTGGCTCTCCAGGGTCTCAGGCGGAGGTCTTTCCCATCACCTGGACCTGATCCCTTCATCTGGAGATGCAGGATCGAACCTGGGACCTGCATGCAAAGCAGAGGCTTTTTCGCTGACCCACAGATGTCCAGAGGAGATTTTGCCATGGCCTGCCTCTGCAAAGCGACCTTGGACTTCCTTGGTGGTCTCCTATCCAAGTACAAACCAGGGCCGACCCTGCTTAGCTTCTGAGATCAGAGGAGACCAGGCCAGCCTGTGCAATGCAGGTCAGGGTGAGAGATGAACAGAGGTGGTTTGCCACTGCCTGCCTCTGCACAGCAACCCTGGATTTCTTTGGTGGTCTCCCACCCCACTACTAACCAGAACCAACCCTGCTTCACTTCCAAGCACTGTTCCCTCGAGGCTGAGTTGGCGTGAGCCAGTTCACAGTTTTTTAGCCTCCGGCTCACAGACTTTTGTCTTAGCTCAGGAAGGACAGCTGCGGAGCAAACTCATTTATGCAGGAGCCAAATCGTTCGCTCACAACTTTAATGCCAGTCGCTCACAAAGTAGGATTTCTGCTGACAAGACTACACAGCTTAGAGAGAGCATCGTATCAGGAGATAGCGGTGATGTTCTGTATTCTTGGTGCTGGGGGGGGGGCAACAGTGGGAGGGCTTCTGGAGTTCTGGCCCCGCTGGTGGACCTCCTGATGGCCCAAGGGTTTTGGCCACTGTGTGACACAGAGTGTTGGACTGGATGGGCCATTGGCCTGATCCAACATGACTTCTCTTATAATTTTATGTCTGGGGCAGTGATGCTTTGTCTTCTTGGTGCTTGGGGGGGCAAGAATGGGAGTCCTGGCCCCACTGGTGGACCTCCTGATGGCCCCTGGGTTTTGGCCACTGTGTGACACAGAGTGTTGGACTGGATGGGCCATTGGCCTGATCCAACATGACTTCTCTTATAATTTTATGTCTGGGGCAGTGATGCTTTGTCTTCTTGGTGCTTGGGGGGGCAAGAATGGGAGTCCTGGCCCCACTGGTGGACCTCCTGATGGCCCCTGGGTTTTGGCCACTGTGTGACACAGAGTGTTGGACTGGATGGGCCATTGGCCTGATCCAACATGACTTCTCTTATAATTTTATGTCTGGGGCAGTGATGCTTTGTCTTCTTGGTGCTTGGGGGGGCAAGAATGGGAGTCCTGGCCCCACTGGTGGACCTCCTGATGGCCCCTGGGTTTTGGCCACTGTGTGACACAGAGTGTTGGATTGGATGGGCCACTGGCCTGATCTAACATGGCTTCTCTTGTGTTCTTATGTGACTCTGAGCCAGAATAAATGCATGGGTCTTTGAGGCTTCCCCCACCCCTGGCTGTTTTCTACCAGCAGCGGCGGCGGCGGCTTCTCCAGAGCCTGGCCCTGAGAACGAGACACAAAGCCCGGAGGGCGGTGGGGGAGAGTCGTCCCTCCCTCCCTGCACGTCCGTGAAGCACAACAAGGGGGCGGGGAAGGGCGAGCGGCGCTGGGCTGCCAGGCCCGCGGGCAGAAAGCTTTCAAACAGACCCGAGGAGGGGCAGGAAGAGGGTCAGCCGGATGCCAAGGAGGACAAAGGGCAACAACACTGGGCTGGGGGGCGGCGGCTCAGCAAAGGGGGAGGGGTGGGGAGAGGCCCCGCGGGCATCCCGACGTGCAGGACCGCACGTGTGCAAATCCCGGGGTTTTGGGAGGCCGGACCCGCGTGCCAAGCGCCAAACCAGCCGGCAGGTCCAAGAGCGCAAAGCGGTCACTGCAGGGCTCCTTTTGCAATCGGGTTTACCCGCAGGAAAGGGGCTCTCAGGGTGGCGCTGGAAGGGATCGGGGGTCAGGCGCCGCTCGAGCCCCGTTTTCCTTCCCGCTGCACCGGACTAAGACTACCCCCCGGTGCCACTTGCGCCCGGGTTCCCGAGGCCAACCTCGCGGGGCTGTTCTGGTGGCCGGAGGAGGTCTTGGAAGCTGGACGACGAGGCAGCTAGGTCAGGAGGCCCCGCAGTTGCCAACCTCCCGGGGGGGTCCTGGAGACCTCCTAGGACTGCGGCGTCTGTAGGACGGGCGGGTCCAGGGTTGCCAACGTCTAAGTGGCGCCTGGGGGATCTCCCGGGGTTGCAAACTGAGCTCCAGACGGGATTGCAAACTGAGCCTGCAAGCGGGGACTCGATGATACACCACCGTCGATCCGAGGCGAACCCCCCCTCCCCAAGCTCCGCCCCCCAAACCTCCAGGAATCCCCCACCCAGGAGCTGGCAACCCCGGCCTGCGGGACTCACCCTATTTGGAAAACGCAACAGTGGCCACAGGATTGGAAAAGATCAGTATACATTCCAATCCCAAAGAAGGGCAATGCCAAGGAATGTTCAAACTATCGCACAATTGCACTCATATCACACGCTAGCAAGGTCATGCTCAAGATCCTACAAGCTAGGCTTCAACAGTACGTGGATAGAGAACTACCAGAAGTACAAGCTGGGTTTCGAAGAGGTAGAGGAACTAGAGATCAAATTGCCAACATTCGCTGGATTATGGAGAAAGCAAGAGAGTACCAGAAAAATATCTACTTCTGCTTCATTGACTATGCTAAAGCTTTTGACTGTGTGGATCACAACAAACTATGGCAGGTCCTTAAAGAGATGGGAGTACCAGACCACCTCACATGTCTCTTGAGAAACCTGTATAAGGGCCAAGAAGCGACAGTTAGAACCGGATACGGAACAACTGATTGGTTCAGCATAGGAAAAGGAGTACGACAAGGATGTATACTGTCACCTTGCTTATTTAATATATATGCAGAGTACATCATGCGAAATGCTGGCCTGGATGAATCACAAGCGGGAATTAAGATTGCTGGGGAAAAGATCAACAACCTCAGATATGCAGACGATACCACTCTAATGGCAGAAAGTGAAGAGGACCTAAAGAGCCTCTTGCTCAGGGTAAAAGAGGAGAGCGCAAAAGTGGGCTTGAAGCTCAACATCAAAAAAACTAAGATCATGGCATCCGGCCCCATCACTCCTTGGCAAATAGAAGGGGAAGTCGTGGAAGTAGTGACAGACTTCACGTTCCTGGGATCCCAGATCACCGCAGACTGTGACAGCAGTCATGAAATTAAAAGACGCCTGCTCCTTGGGAGGAAAGCGATGGCGAACCTAAACAGCATGATAAAAAGTAGAGACATCACCCTGCCAACAAAAGTCCGCATGGTCAAAGCAATGGTATTCCCAGTAGTCATGTATGGCTGTGAGAGTTGGACTATAAGGAAGGCCGAGCGCCGAAGAATAGATTCTTTTGAACTATGGTGCTGGAGGAGACTCTTGAGAGTCCCTTGGACTGCAAGAAGAACAAATCAGTCAATCCTCAAAGAAATCAACCCTGACTGTTCCCTGGAAGGCCAGATAATGAAACTGAAGCTCAAATACTTTGGCCACCAAATGAGATGGGAGCACTCACTGGAGAAGACCCTGATGCTGGGAAAGATTGAAGGTCAAAGAAGACGGGGACGGCAAAGGATGAGATGGTTAGACAGTGTCATCGATGCAACGAACATGAAATTGAGCCAACTTCAGAGGACGGCGGAAGACAGGAGGGCCTGGCGGGAGCTGGTCCATGGGGTCGCAGAGAGTAATGATACTGGCTGATTTGTTTTCAGTTCTCTTCCCAATCATCCCCAGCATAGCGTTGGCCTTTTTTACTGCAGTTGCACACTGTCTCGACATTTTCAGTGAGTGATCTACCACGACTCCAAGATCTCTCTCTTCTCCCATCCACCAGGGCTGATCCTGCTTAGCGTCCAGGACCTGATGAGATCCGGCTGGTGGGCCTCCAGTTTCCCCAACATCGGCAAAGAATAAGTAGGGAGTGTAAACCAGGTATTTACTACTCTGCTGAGTTCAAAGTACTCTTACACAAGGCAAAACCCACAGAATCCTTAATTTGAGGGCTTCGCTTCTGCGGACGATGTAGAAAGCGGAGCATAATTGGGAAAGAAGGAAATGAAGGCTGAGAGCAAAAATCAATGAAGGCAACAGAAGATCTGGGGGAATGGGTTAGAAAGAAAAAGAGCTGTTACCCAAAATCAGAAAAGCTTAATTTCTAAATGGGGGGTGGGAGGGAGGGGGGATTGTATTTACAGGCATTCATTTCCCCAGGGCTTTTTTTGTAGAAAAAAACCCAGCATGAACTCATTAGCATAATAGGCCACACCCAACAGGAGAAGTTCATTTGCTTATTAGGACACACCCCTGACAGCACAGCTCATTAGCATATTAGGCCACACACCCCATGTTCGCAGAAGTGTGGTCATCCAGCCACACCCACCTTTTGCTTCTTATTCTGTTTACCTTGTTTGTTGTCAAAACCCAGGGCCTTTTTTTGTAGCAGGAACTCCTTTGCATGTTAGGCCACACACCCCTAATGTAACCAGTCCTAATGAGTTTCTGCTGTTGGGTGTGGCCTATTATGCTAATGAGTTCCTGCTGGGTGTGGCCAACTCGGGAGCCAGCCGGAACTCCGTTCCTGTGCGTTCCTGCCCAAAAATAGCCCTGCATTTCCCACTTCTCCGCATTCAGGACTCAAGGTGGCTTACCTTGTTGTCTTCATTTTCCCACAACAACCCTGTGAGATAGGCCAGGCCAAAAAACTTTCACGGTAGAAGTGGGGATTCGAACCCCGGTCTCTCAGGTTCCTAATCCAACACACTATCCACGATGCCATGTCAGCTGTCTCAGGGTATTCAGGGAACCGGTTTTTTAATGCTCACCCCCCCCCCAATTCCACTTGTGGGCCTACCTTTTGTGGAGTTACTTTTTGCACATTTTTGGAAACACCATTTTCCCTTTGATAGCCTTCAAGAAGCAAGGCACAAGCAAAATCCAGTGGCATGAGGTGTGTGTGTCAAAATCTCAGCTGATACAACTGTGAGCTTGGGAGAATCAAAGGAAAGGAAGAGATTGGATGTATACCCCGCCCTTCACTACCCGAAGGAGTCTCAGAGAGGCTTTACAAACTCCTTTCCCGTCCCCTCCCCACAACAGACTCTGTGAACTAGGTGGGGCTGAGAGAGCTTTTTCAAGGACTGCCCCTGAGAGAACAGCTCTGAGAGAACTTATGACTGACCCAAGGTCACACCAGCAGCTGCATGTGGAGGAGTGGGGAATCAAACCCGGTTCTCCCAGATTAGAGTCTGCACTTCCTAACCACGACACCAAACTGGCTCTCAACACAGCTCTCACATGAACACCGGCTGTCCATACGCTTCGGACACCTGATCGCAACACCCATATTGGAATCCTGCAGCATCTTGAAGTGGTTAGGTGAATTGCTTTGAAGCTTTTCGGAGCTGAAAGTTGACTTAGCAAAATGACAGGCGCCTGGGAAGGAGATGTTGACGGAAGAGTATGAGGCCATACTTCCCCACCTCCTCATTTGTACTTGTCGCTGACAAGAGAAGCTTAGGAAATGCTCAGAGCTACAAATGGCAGGGTCGCAGATTAGCTGCGTAGGTGGCATGCGAGAGCCCATGCTGTTCATACTCTGCTCCTAGGGATGCCAGCCTCCAGGTGGGGCCTGGGGATCCCCCAGAATTCCAGCTCATCTCCAGGCTACAGAGCTCAGTTCCCCTGGAGAAAATGGCTGCTTTGGAGGGGAGACTCTGTGGCCTTGTGCCCCACTGAGGTCCAGGGACGCCAGCCTCCAGGTGGGGCCTGGGGATCCCCCGGAATTCCAGCTCATCTCCAGACTACGGATATCAGTTTCCTCTGGAGAAGATGGCTGCTTTGGAGGGGGGACTCCAGTAAGATCCCTATCCTCCCCAGGCTCCACCCTCAAATCGCCAGGAATTTTCCAACTGGATCTGGCAAAAAAAACCCCTCCACCCCCACCCCCACGCGGTGGTCGGGGTGGGGACTTGGCAATCCTATCTGCTCCACCCCACTTGCTGGCAAGCTCTCTGTTCTCATCCCATGCTGCAAAATCAGGCCCTACCAAAACAACCCCCACCCTTCTCTCTCTCCCCCACTGTCAACGGGCAGCTGAAAACGAAAGAACAGCCTTGCTCCACCAGGCCAGATGTTACCCAACCCATCACCTCCCTTAAAAAGGTAAAGGTTCCCTTGCTTGAAAGCCAGTCGAATCCGACTCTAGGGTTGCGGTGCTCATCTCCGTTTCAAAGCCGAAGAGCCAGCGCTGTCCGAAGACGTTTCCGTGGTCATGTGGCCAGCATGACTAAACACCAAGGCGCATGGAACGCTGTTACCTTCCCACCGAAGTGGTACCTATTTATCGACTTGCAATTTCTTGCTTTCGAACTGCTATGTTGGCAGGAGCTGGAGCTAGAGACGGGAGCTCACTCTGTCATGTGGCACACTTGGGTCTTGAACTGCTGAACTACCGACCTTCCACAGCCTGCAGTTCAGCATCTTAACCACTTGAGCCACCGCAGCTACATCACCTCCCTTACACAAGTGTATGTGGCCAATTAGACAACATATTTATTAGCACATTTATCACCCACCTTGCTCTTGTGGCTGAAGGCAGATTACACATCTAAACCAAACCATCCGTAATGCAATTAAGCCCTGTTAACTCCCCCTCCCAAATAATGACTATATTCCGGATCCTGAGTCTGTGCCTCCACCTTCAGAGGTGAGGCAGGTGGTGACTACAGACAAGACATTTTCTGTGGTGGCCCCTCGCCTCTGGAATGCTCTCTGCCTTGAAGTTATTTATTTATTATTTATCTTATTAAATTTATATCCCACCCTCCCCACATAGCAGGCTCAGGGTGGGTTAAGAACCGGAGAACATAAGAGAAGCCGGTGTTGGATCAGGCCAATGGCCCATCTAGTCCAACACTCTGTCACACAGTGGCCAAAAGTACCAGGTGCCCTCAGGAGGTCCAGTAGTGGGGCCAGGACACCAGAAGCCCTCCTGCTGTTGCCCCCCCAAGCACCAAGAAACAGAGCATCCCTTGCCACCTCTGGCCCCCGTGCCATAGGTTCGCCACCACTGCCCTAGTGGACCTTAGGCGCCTAGCCTCTATTGTTCTTTAGGAATCAAGCTCTGCACACCTGGACACGGCCTAGTGGCGGTTCCCAGGAGACAACAGCCTCTTGCAGCCATTTCGCAGCAGTGACTTTGCAACCGCACCCACCCCACCGAGCCAGAATACCGGAGGTCCACAGGCTCAAAAAGCATGGGGACTCTCTGGTTCATAGGAGAGAAAGCCAAGACGCCGAGCTGCATTGACAGGACTTGTCGGAAGGGGGCGTCTGCTATCCACAGAGCAAAGGGGAATGGCACGTCCTTCCACAGAGGAGCACCATCTTCAGTCTGCAGAGGCGAGAGGGTCGTCTTTGATCTAGACAGGCCCAGCCACGCTCCGGCTGCTGTTTCCACCCCGTGCCTGGCACGATTTGTGCTGGAGGCACAGAAGATGCCTTTCAGAGAGGCCAGCGCCCGAGTCAGCTAGAGTGCCACGCTCAGCGAGAGAGACACACACAATGCGCTTCCCTTCCCAGCGCAAGGGAGAAAAAAACACCAGACACGGCCCTTCCATCGATCCTCAGCTGCAAAGGGATACGATCAATAAGGAACATCTTGCGGGGTGCGGCGTGTATTTCAGCCGAATGAGACAACCGCCACCGCAGGCAGTCATCCCAGAAATGTTAGGGTATGCAGTCCCTGTGGACTGAAGGGCGATTGTTGACATCCTCTAACCATATTTCACAAAAAAGAAGAGATAGGATTTATACCCTGCCCTTCACTACCCAAGGGAGTCTTAGAGCTGCTTACAAACTCCTCTCCCTTCCCCTCCCCACCCCCCCAGTTTGGTGTAGTGGTTAGAAGCGTGGACTCTCATCTGTTTGAGTCCCCGCTCCTCCATGTGCAGTTGCTGGTGTGACATTGGGTCAATCACAAGTTCTTTCAGAGCTGTTGTCTCAGGGGGAGTCCTCGAAAGACCTCTCTCAGCCCCACCGACTTCCCAGGGTGTCTGTTGTGGGGAGGGGAAGGGAGATTGTAAGCTGCTCTGAGACTCCTCCAGATAGTGAAGGGCCAGGTATAAATCCAATTTCTCCTCTTAGAATCATAGAATTCTAGAGTAAGAAGGGACCCCCAGGGTCATCTAGTCCAATCCCCTGCACAATGCAGGGAATTCACAAATACCTCCTCCTCACCTTCAGTGACCCCTGCCCCATGCTCAGAAGATGACAAAAAGCCCTCCGAGGAGGAGAAAGGTAACCTAGGGGAATGCACAGGGTTGGAAATCAATCTGTGGGCACTTTAGAAGATGAGAACAATGAACTATCCAAGAGGGCTTTTCTGCACAGGTAAGAAGGTTGCACTGTACTAAATGGTCCTCGAATTTACTTGAATTATTAGGACTGTGGTATATACTGCTGCGTATAGCTTTATTGTAAGTAGGATCATAAGAACATAAAAGAAGCCAATGTTGGATCAGGCCAAAGGCCCATCCAGTCCAACACTCTGTGTCACACAGTGGCCAGAAATACCAGGTGCCCTCAGGTCCACCCGTGGGGCCAGGACACTAGAAGCCCTCTCACTGTCCCCCCCCCCCAGCACCAAGAAGACAGAGCATCACTTGCCCCAGATCAAGAGTTCCCACCTATACCTTGTGGCTAATAGCCACTGATGGAACCTGTTATGTAATTTCTGTACTGTTTAGTGTGTCGTGTGAAAACTTATGCAACACTCCAGTTCTTTCTGGTTGGTTCCAGACTTCTAAAATCCTAAAGCGCTGGTTAGTGAACATCCCATTTTGCTGACTGTACTGCCTCACTATGTGTAATCTGCCTGGAGTCCCTGCGAGAAAGGTGGACTACAAGGAAAAAGTTTGGATTCAGGCACTATTCGCATAAATCGGGGATCCCCAACGTGGCGCTCGTGGGCATCACAGCGAACACCCAGTGTTTTCAGAAAGCAGGTGGGGCTTCCGGCCACCAAGGCTTCTGATTGGCTGTGCAGATGTTTTGAAGCGTTGCTTTGGCGGAGGCTGCCACCACAGCACAAGGATTGTCTGTAAAGAAAAATGGTTCCTTGCTCTGTTCCGTAAACTAAAATCTTTGGTTCAGGCTGCATAGAGGCCTGCAGAAATTTTCCCGGAGATGGTTAGAGACAGCTCCGAAGAAGCAGATTGAGCGCAGTGACCTTGCCAGCCCACTACATTGTTTTCAGATGAAGTGCCGGGGAGTACCAACTGCCCTTGGTCCTTTTCCAAGTAGCACATTCCAAGCAACTGAAGTTAGGGACACCTGAGGGGGAAGGGGCGGACCTAGCTGCAGTAGTTTCCTTTCTCTCCCTCTCTCTCTTGTCCCTCCTTGGATGTCACGTGCCCGGCAACCAAGAGCGTCACATCACCTCTCGGGTATCTCATTGGTCCAAAGAGCCAGTTTGGTGTAGTGGTTAAGTGCATGGACTCTAATCTGGGAGAACCGGGTTTGATTCCCCATTCCTCCCCTTGCACCTGCTGGATGACCTTGGGCAAGCCGTAGTTCTGTCAGAGCTGTTCTTGAAAAAAGAGCAGTTTCTCTCAGAGCTTTCTCAGCCCCACCCACCTCCCAGGGTGTCTGTGGTGGGGAGGGGAAGGGAAAGGAGTTTGTAAGCCGCTCTGAGACTCCCTTGGGGAGTGAAGGGTGGGGTATAAATCCAATCTTTTCTTCTTCAAAGGCCTAGGATCAATCAGAGACCTTTTCCCTATAAATCTAGTTAGTCCCCACACTATGGCACGGAGCTCGGTGTTGTGTCAGTGGTTCAAGAGCTCCTGAATGGCATCCCACTTGATTCCTGCCTGGACTGGCTAAAGTTGTGAACATCTAGTCTTGCTGGAACTGGCTGCCTCCGCTGAACCTAGGAGCTCGACGTTGTGTCAGTGGTTTGAGAGCTCCCGAATGGCATCCCACTTGATTCCTGCCTGGACTGGCTAAAGTTGTGAACATCTAGTCTTGCTGGAACCGGCTGCCTC